GAAGAGTCTTGAAGACGCTCATCCGCGCATAGGAATAAGTTGACTGCGTAGCGTATTGCGTATTAATCGATTCTGAAACTTTCTATCTCGTGTATAACATGTTACGCAAGTTTATTATTTTAATCTCGATTTTAATAGATAAATGTGTGAAATGCCACCTGAATATCTTCCGCCATGACATGTTTTTACTTTTTTGTTATGGTAAAGTGATTTGTATAAACTTTATTCAATAACGTATATTTTCCTCCATTTGTGATTTTTTAATTTTAAGCGAAAATTAAGTATAACATTTTAGGAAAAAGAAACACTGTAATATTTAAAAGAATAAGAAGAAATTAGTCTTATTTTGAAAGGAAAATATAGAAAAAACTCTTTCTATAGAAAAAGTCTTTATACTAACCAGAATCCGGTGACATATACGCGGTCTCACCGGAAACATTACTTATTACTTCGCATAACTTGAAGAATATCTACTTTTAATAATGAACACTTCAGAAATACACCAGTAAAAACATTTATTATTTGAGATTAAAACTCGAATTAAATTATAAATATTAGTTACCTATGTTGTTATAGCTTTTATAGGCCTGTTTAACGACTTAATAAGTTACCTAGCGAAAAAATCTGTGCGCGTACCTACCACTATTGTTACAGGTTAATTCGTTAAAGAAATATGTTACACAAGTTAAAAACGCTAAAATTTTAATGGTATTACTTGTGCATTATTGGCCTTATAATGTAATTTGTTGGAATTATATCTTCTTTAAATATAATTAGACTTTTTAACGACTTTTAAGTTACCTAGGAAAAAATCTGTGCACGTACCTACCAGTATTGTTACAGGTTAATTCGTGAAACAAATGTGTTACATATTATTCGTGGTATTAGTGGTATTATATTGGAATCAGCTTGGCATTAGTGGGGCATTATATGAGAAATTTTGGTATTTAATTTGTATTTTTGGCATTACTTTGGCATTAGTATACAGACATTTGTCAGCGGTTTACTCCTTGTAGATAATCAAAAAGTTTTTTGATAAAATTTGCTTTTCATGTCAGATCATTTCTATGAAAAATTACATTAGATTTTTATTAAAGACGCTGGGTAATTAAAACATTGACTAATAAACCTTGTCCACTTTAAATACGGGGTCACGAAATATCCTCCTTGGAGTGTTTGGGTTAAGGGGTGTATAATAAATTAATCGTTGTTTTATAATAAAAACCATAAAACATTTATTTGTGAGTAAAATAATGCAATGGTTGGATATCTCTCCTTTATAATTCGGTGACTAAAAATACACTAAAATAATTAGAAAAAAAATCTTGTACTTATTTAGTAATTACGTCAATATTAATTAATTGACTTTCTAGTCTATTTTATTTTATGTACAAATATATTATTAAATTTTAAGCATTAAGTAATAAAACACTTTGTGCCCTCTTATATCGTAAAAGGTTACGAAATATACTCCTGGTTACACCCCTTACAGAAAACAGTGTAAGGGGTGTAAATAAATTGTATAATCACTGTTTTTTATAATAAAAACTATAAAATATTTCTTATTTGTGAGATTAAAAAAACAAAACAATGCATTGGTTAAAATAAGTACATTCAATACTGTTTTCAATTGTTAATTCAATAATGTGTTATAACATAATATAGCCATTACTATTATACTATTATTATTAAAATAATATGTGTGTAACATATTTCTTTAACGAATTAACCTGTAACAGACATTTATATGCCCAGTATATTTTTGTTTAACAAACCAATCAGGAAAAATCCAAAACCTACCGTTATAGGAGGTATAAGACGATTAAACTTATATAATGACAACTACTTATCGGATAACAAATTAATTACTACTGTCAGCTAGTTCAGCTACTGTCTAGGTAGAATTTACCTAGAGTACCTACACCTACCTATGATGATGTAGGTAGATTAAAGCTTATTTTGACGTTACCTCTCACTTCGGTGTCACAAGCTGAATTTTTCAGGGATGGAAGTACAGTACATCACAGTACATGATATGGGGACCCTTATTCCGAAAGTAGTACAAAATTAAACAGGGTAAAAAGGCACTATCATCAAAAATCGATATATTAATACCACCGTATAGAGAAAACAAATACTTATTTTTTGATCCAGTACAGAATAAAGTCTTCGTAGGGAGTAATTTTTTATAATTATTTACAAAAAAACATTTCCATTAGCGCTTATGACCAAAAAAAAACTTTAAACATGAATAATCATTTCAATCATGCGAAAATTTGGTTTAAAAATAGAGATTTTTTTTTAATATAACTTTCATTTAACGAAAAACGAAGGCCTAAATGAAAAAAAGAAACAATTTAAAAGTTTCGCTCATGTCTTGACAAGGTATCAAAGCAAACCCATATATTTTTTGCTTTTAAACTAATAAAGATATATCAATAAACAATTAGCGATGTAATGGTTTTTGCGCGCGCTGGCCGACTGCCGCCGCTGCGCCGAGATTTCCTATACCCTTGTATATATGACGTCATGGTGTGGCAAATGTAGCATTTTAATTCGATTTGGGCTCCCTTATATAGGATAACAGAAACATTTTCAATGTTAACACTGAAAAGTTCACTTCGGACTTGATTCCGACTTCAAACACACCGTAAGCTAAACGTAGTTGTGGTAGTACGCTATAACGGACTAGTGGCCGTCGCGAGGGGTGGTGGGACGGACGGCTCATTTCATTCTGGAAGACTAGCAGCGATGTTGCCAATACTTCTAGACGTTTCAGCACATTAAACAGTAAATATGTCCTTTAATAGTAACGCCAATATCCTCTGATTAATAACATATTATTACGCATGCTTCTTTAAAAGTAAACTATTAATTTAATTAAGAAATTGAGATTTATTGATATCCGTACTGCAAATCATACTAAGTAGATAGGCGCAAATTTGAGATGTGGCAATGTCGCCTTCTCTATCGGTTTTTACAGTACGTAGTGAACCTCCGATTGTTTGATCGGGTTAAAATGCAAAATGTGATATCTGTTCTTCCTAAATCTATGATTGTGACAAAGTCTTTCAAAGGTTAGAAAAAGTCCTCATTAGTGCGCCAATACTTAGCTACACTATTGATAATGCAAACGTTTTGTTAATTCTCTTAATTGTTCCATTGTAGTAAAAATGTACCACGTGTATTAAAAAATAAATTTCCTATTTTGATTTTCTAAAACTTTGATCTTTAGATCTTTGGAGCATATAGAGTTACTCCAATTAAAACAGTTACCAAAGCAGCAACTTCAAAGCTCCAAAAGCTTCCCCAATATCTACACATATTTCCCAGTATCAAAATAATACATGTCACAAACCTCTCGAGGATAATTGGCAACGAGCAATTATAATAAAGTTTCTTGACTGGTTGGCGAAGTTTCTTTTGTGTTGGGAATATAACGAGCTCAATAAGTATTAGACATTAGACATTTCGAACATAACATACACCATCGAATATTAATTTTAAAGAGCTTTTATCATTATGAGAATGCGAGGCAAACAAATTTTATTGTGTCTAGACTGCAAATAAAACTTTGTAAATTGGAAAAATTGGTTAAACTCGTTGAACTTTCCTTCGATATAAAAAAATAATCGTTTTCAAGAGAAAAATAAATGTTTGAGAATGTTTTTGTTTATTCTAAAAAATAGTTATATATAAGGCGTGTAACTATATGCAAAGATTAATATAATTATATGGCAGCCACAAAGTGTGAAATTTGCCTAACGGACAAAAAAATGCTTAACGTTCCGTCGTCGGAAACAAAAAAAAAATACAAAGAACAAAGAAAAAAAAAAGCTATTTAAAATATTTTAAATAGTTGCTATTTTAAAATATCTACACATTAACCGTAACATATATATGATCATGCAACAGCATCTGTGTCGCTATATGAAAACTGTTCAACAGCATCTCTGTCGCTACATGAAATTGTTCTTAGCATTATTAGAATATATATTCAAAAGACTAAACTGGGTAGGAAATGGACACAAATATTAAAACGGGGAAATGCTCAATGCTCAGCAGAGACTGACGAAAAAGTCCATAAGAAGAATCCGTGTAGCCAAACGTGCTATGGAAAGAGCAATACTTGGTATATCTCTAAGAGATAAGATACCAGTACAGTTATAAAACAGAGCACACGAGATGATAATATATATCTGCTTAAAAAACTCAAATGGAACTGGGCTGGGCATATTGGCAGAAGAACGGACGATAGATGGACCAAGCTAATAGTAGAATAACGGCCAAGACAGGATACTCTCAGAAGCAGAGGCAGATCTCCGACAAGATGGTCAGATGACTTAAATGATATTTAGAGGAAACTGAATCCAAGTGGCACAAGACCGAGAAGAGTGGAAATATTTGATGAAGGCCTACATCCAGCAGCAGACACTTCAGGCTGGTTAATGATGATGATGAATTCCTCTAGTTCAATCAAGTTTTTAAAATTATAATTGGATTCTAAAATTTATTTCTGTGTTATATTGCCCTTAAGTAACTATCTTTTTTTTGCAATACAAACTGTGAACGAATGAACTGCGCGAACAGTCACCAGAGGCACTATGGGTCATTGAAAGTAAATATCAATTATTGTTAACGTATGGTGCCGCATTTGTCGTTTATTTGAATTTTTGATTTTAGAAAGTCATAGATTTATAATAAATGTATTTGCTAAAAACTAAACTGTTCTTGAATAGTTGCATTTAGATATTTTAAACATTATTTTTTGCTTTGTGTTTTTTGCTATTAACGAGGATATACCTCCTAAAGCTTTAAACATTTTGACATCAAACCACTGACAAGCTGGTTTCCATTTGGAGTCAACGCAGTGGTATTTACAAAAATTAGATTTTTTATTTTGTAGATTTCTTTTCCAATGGCGAAAAAACCAGACATGATTTATATATAAAATATTATTATTCCATTGCTGTTGTTCTAATTCATGTACATTTTTTCAGGTTTCCACATGGCACCAAAACTCAGCGCCAGGTTTCCAGAATCTTGTTTGCTGATTTTCGTGGGTGTGGCGATCGGCGTTGTGTTGGTGCATATTACTGACTCAGTACACATGTCACCGCTTACTCCGGACACCTTCTTCTTCTACATGTTGCCGCCTATCATTCTGGACGCGGGATACTTCATGCCCAACAGGTTGTTCTTCGACCACTTGGGCACCATTTTGTTATTTGCTGTTATAGGAACTATTTTTAATACATTACTTATAGGTAAGTTAAATATCTTTCTTGCCAAAAATGTTTTGAATGTTTAGAATCCAACAAGTTTAATTTTTTTAATTGTAAATAAAGTTGTTTATGGCATCAAAATATGTAAGATACCCTTGGGAAATGCCCAAACTGGTTTCGAGTTTCTACTTCAAATCTGCTCATAAATAAATTAAACAAACATCATGAGATGGACCCGCCTATTCACAAAAAATAAATATATTTCACTATGTCAAAAACATTCAGTTTTAAGACACTCTGTATACGTAAATAATTATTATTGATTTTTAAAATATTTATAAACAAATCAGGGAGAGGTAAATAAAGGAAAAGATCGAGAGGATGAATGTAGAATGTATAGGGAGGGGAGTTAATCACTGCAACCTTACATATCTATTGTGTGTTCCTTTTTCTTGAGTTATAACGAGTTATGACTCATCATATAGTCTCAGCGCTTTAACAAAAGCCTGTATCTGACACTGAGGCCAGCTCCCCATCCTCGACATCAGCCGTACTAAAATTAATGGAACGAACGGTCGTCGTCTCGGCGCACTCAGTGATAAGGTGTTCTGGTGTTTCCCAATTTACCCCACATGATCTGCGTTCTCCGTTTTTTCTCAGCTTCAGCCTACTGAGGTGTTCGTTGAGGAGACAGTGTCCTGTCAGAAACCCCGTGAAAATCTGAAGATTGTTTTTACTTAAATCAAGGAAAATCTTTGATTTTACTCGGTCGTAAGTTCTGAGGAACTTTTTCGAGTGTCTTAGACCGTTGCATTCGAGGACTCCCATTCTAGGTTACGGATGGAGTCTTCCAGGTTCTTCAGTTCCGCTTTTAGATGGTTTCCGCTTGAAAAAGCAACTAAAAGCGGAACTACAAACCATAACCCTCGTACGTCGAAAAAAAGGGTACAGATTTTGATTAGAGCTAGATTTAGAACTGTTATATGTTGTGTTGGTATATTGTAGTCAGGTAATGTGATTGTGCTAGTTGTAATAGCACAGACCAAGCACAATACATATTAAGGCTAAATTATTGACCTATCTGATGCTAACAATCAAGATCTTATATATCAAAATACCTTAGGCAGCAGACTTGCATGATTTTATTATAAGTACCGAATCTATAATAGACACCTACTATAATACTTATATATTATTCTGATTCAATAAAGAAGAAGATTGTATCATAATGAATATTCTAATATGAAATAAGTGTATGAAGGTGATTAAATTCATTCAATAGTCAAATTGTCATCGGTAGATATGCCAATGCAACAATGATTAGAATGGTCACCAATGGAATCAGTGCTGCGAGAATTGTCAGATCAGGGGCTTGGCACACCTTCAAATAAGAAATACCAGTCCTCCAACTCCATGAGGCCATAAAACGAATTGGAAGAGAGAAACGTTTGCTCAGCAGTTAAAAGACTATACCATAACTTGGTATACTAATGCTTCTAAAACCAATGCAGGAACAGAAGTCGAAGTATTTGGGCCGAGAATACTCCGAACCAATAGCTACCTACTCTAGTATCCTACAGGATTACCTTAGATAGGAACTATAGGAAACAAGAAATCTTATCTGATAGTCAAGCGGCGTTAAAAGCGATCAACTTAGTATCAATCAATTCGAAACTGGTCAAAGAATGCATAGAGAAGTTGAACAAATTAGGCAAAAAATACAAATTCCTAGTAATCTGGGTGCCAGTTCACCAAGGGCTAGAAGGTAATAAGAAAGCAAATGATCTAGATAGAAAAGGAGCGAACACTCCACTAACTCGACCAGAACCGTTCTGCTTCCTAAGTGGAAGGTGGTTCCTATTCTCGCTCTAATACATTTTAAATATCGGCTCCGCATCTCTTTTCCGAATAAAAATATTCTGACGCGATCGTAATTTACAGGGTGTTTTAAAAAACATGTGCCATCTCTCGTAGGGAGATTCTTCAGTTAAAAAAATATATATTTACAGGGTGTTAAAATCTTAATATTTTTTCGATTTATTATAACTTTCTTCCAAATACTTTTAGCGTTTCAAAAATTTGAGGGTTTCAAATTTCCATTGAGGGTAAAAGTTACTATAAATGCGACATATTTTAATGCTAAAAAAGTGTCGACATATTCACCAGGGACGTGCATATGGGTTATCACTGGAATATTTTTCTAAAAAAAGCATGTACGCCACTGATTTTTTTTTTCTTGTTAGCGAAATAGTGTGAGCAGTTTAATGCCGGTTAAAAGTTTTTTCTTGATATTTTGTCGATTTCGGCCTGCTTGATGACTTAAAGGCAATTTTAATCATTTGCTCCAGTAGCCTAATAGCAACCTTTAAAAAAATAATATCATTAAATTGCTAAAGTTTTAAACAAGTATTTATTGATTGCTCATCATAAAATATAAATAAAAGTTCCTATACAAATGGATATGGAATGCATAGTTTTAGAGTTATAGGATGTTAAAACTTTTTAAAATTAGGTTTTTTGTAATTATCTTAAATACATAAATGTAGGTTGAACTAATAATAATAATAACTAATAGTAATAATGTTTAATAATAAAGTAGGTAAAATATATAATTAATAATTATATTTTTATTTTTATTTTGTTAAATGTGATTAAAAAATTGCGTTTATCTCATCAAGGAGGCCGAATTCTACAAAATTGTAAGAGATAACTTGTAATTGGCATTAAACGCACTACACCATTTTGATACCAAAAGAAAAAAAGTCAGTGGCGCACATGTTATTTTTTTGAAAAATATTCCAATGAAAACCCATATGCGCGTCCCTGATGAATTTATCGACACTTTTTTAACATTAAAATATGTAGCATTTATAGTTACTTTTACCCTCAAAATTCGAAGTAGTAAAATTACTTGGAAGAAAATTATATTACATCGAAAGATTATTAAGATTTTAACACCCTGTAGCTACAAAACAAAGCAGCAACGGACCTATGTAAATATGAAAAATAAATCTTAATTTTACATGAGGAATCTCCCCACGAGAGTTGGCACATGTTTTTTGAAACACCCTGTATATTTATGTCTCAATCTGAATATACAGGGTCGCTGAAATGTATGGAAATGGTCGATTGTTAGGTAAAATATAAGAGGTACCGCAAAAAGTTAAATATAAAAGTTATAGGATTTTTAAATATCCTAAATTAAACAATTTCCGAATCATGAAGTTCTGATTTTGAAATGTTAAACAAAAATTTTGTAATTTCCAGATTTGATATAATCTAATTTTATGCATCTATAAATGCTAACTGAAAACTAATGTCAAATATTATTAAGTATCAAAATTTCCGCAGAATGGCATCGTTAAATGAAACCGAACACATTTAAATTAATTATTTATTTATTTTTTTTTTAAATTAATTATCGAATTAAGTGATATTTTCAAAAGTCAATAACTCGGAAATGGTTGACTTGAGGTACATTGTGTGTATCTCGATTTTTGCTTAGAATTGAAGAAAGAACCGAAATATGCAGTAGTATACAGTGGGTTCCACTAAAAAAAATGAAACTTTTATGTGCCACAACTTCATGACCGACCCTGTATACTAAAATTTATTACCTGCTAATAGATATTTAAAAACCCTATAACTTTTATATTTAACTTTTTGCGGTATCTCTTATATTTTACCTAACAATCAAGCGTTCCCATACACATCAGCGACCCTGTATATTTATGTGTTTCTTTCCTTTTGTTCCAGGTGCTTCCTTATGGGCAGTAGGACTTACAGGCCTGTACTCCTGTGATACCCCCTTACTCGACATGTTTCTCTTCGGCTCCCTGATTTCGGCCGTGGACCCGGTGGCCGTGCTCGCCGTCTTCGAAGAGATCCAGGTCAACGAGATCCTGTACATAGTCGTTTTCGGCGAATCGCTGCTCAACGATGCCGTCACCGTGGTGCTGTACCACCTGTTCGAATCGTACACCGAGATGGGGCTGAACAATATCCTAGCCACGGACATACTGTCCGGCTTCCTGAACTTTTTCGTGGTGGCGCTGGGTGGTACGGTGATCGGGGTGATTTGGGGCTTCGCCACCGCGCTGGTGACCCGGTTCACGAACGAAGTGCGCGTCATCGAGCCGATCTTCATATTCGTGATGGCGTATTTGGCCTACCTCAATGCAGAAATATTTCACATGTCTGGAATTTTAGCGTAAGTATACATTCTTATTCTTAAATTATTGTTTCTATAGACGGTTTCTGTATCATCGAGAAAAATAGTTATTTAAAGGGTTTGCCGAAAAAGACTGGTAAATATTTCAGTGGCGGCTCGTGAATATATAGGAAGGTGAGGCTACATGAGGTTAATAATTTTGTTTTAATACCAATACATTTTCTCACTGATGAAGCATTTGTAAAATCGGTATTTTTGGGGCTTACTCAACTGGGTCTCACAATGCAAATTCACCTCAAATATCCATTTAGTTGGTCATTGGCAAGCACTCTCTCATTGTACATGAAAATAACAAAACAAACATTTACTGATCTGGATAAAATTGATAGTTAAATAGTAAGACTCACCCGGGGGTACTCCGCCCCCTAGCCACTGACATCACTGATATTCTATTAAATATATCCCATTCCACATCTTCCATCTAATTCAAATATTATTCGGATCTATTGGTTAAAAATCTTCAACAACTAGCTAGTGTCACCTGAAATAGTATAGGGGCTTCCCCCGGACGCAATTCTGCCGCTAAACAGATTCGCATCCCAATCGAATAAGCTATTTGGGTGGCTCACCATCCCAACGCCGCATCGTCAATCGAGAAGACATTATGGAGACCTCAAACTCTCAAGACCAACTCGAAGGCAAGACGTCACAGAGGTTTTCTTACCGTGGTCAAACGACCCCGTTGGCTTACAGTCAAACGACTTGCAACTATATTAGTCAAAAGACTCGCAACCTCCATTTGTCAGCTCTCTGACAAAACACAACACTACACAGCCGGCCGGCCTATCAACAACTGACTGACCTGCCGCCTGCCGAGCTAAGCCTCCTCTTACATCACAATTTTACCTGATCAAATATTTACATCGCTTGCCAATGAATCATACTGTTTTCTCTAAACGACTTTCAAATAGAGTGTTTTAGCATTACCAAATAAATAAATAGAGAGTTTCCGAAGGAATGCATATTGTTTATTAGAATAGTGAATAAATAAAAGCATTATTATGACGAACTTATTTTCCAAGTTTTACACATTATTCTGCGACGCGTTATCCTGTTTTTAATGGTACCAAACCTATTGGATTTAGTACCAAGATATTTGAAAACTTCTTAAATACCTATTGTCTACCTTGCTTTTTATCGTTAAATATTGCGGAAATTTTTGACTCCTTAATATTTATTTGTATTTTTTCAGTTCCATTTCATCTTAAGCCGGTCCCACACGATGTGGCAAACACCTTCCAACATTGAACACCTGGATATTTGCCACATCGTGTGGGAGACAAACTTGCCGAATATATTGTATAAAATTGTCGAGAACTGTGCCAAGTGTTTGCTCCAACGCATCGTGTAGGACCGACTTAACCGTTATAAATAGGATCCATTTTAAACAAAACACTAAAATTCAACTCCTCTTCAGTACTTTAAAATAAATAAAATAAATCTTACCGGCGAAGAAAAGCCTAACTTTCAAATTTAAACTATATTTGTTGTGTTGAATTTGAAAAAAAATGCTAAAATTCCACCGTACATGTTTGTAATCGAGTTAAAAATACTGTGTTAACTCTAAGTTAAACTGGGATTAAATAAAAAAAACTAGATAAAGGTCTACCCTCAGAGGCCTACCCTAACGAGCCGCCACTGAAATATTTCTGGAAATATGCTTACCGAATTAAGTTACATAAACGTGTCGCATAAACTAGCATTTATAGTGGCAGATACGTAACTGCTACTATCAAAGCCACTACAAAGTGGGCGGTATATTCGTAGCTGATAAGTAACTGTGACCACAATGGGGAAAGATTTTGAGTAGCCGGGTAGTGTCTTGGGTAGTTTTTGCCACTAAAAGAGTTACTATGATGTGTTACTATAAAGTAGCCTACTGGCAGAGATAACTACGAGATGCCCAAGTCAATGTGTATAACTGGTTCTCTAATAGCTATATATAAAAATCCAATGACGGATCCGTTGAATCTGGAGATAGTTGGTGCTGCGATCGGCGCTAAGCGATTCAAAAAGCGCGCCTTTATTTGAATTTAAATATTTTTATATATATATATTATAATTACCAAATAAAAGACTAATATAAGAATTATATTATTTATTAAGAGATAAAAAAATAATATTTTCAAATATGTTACAATAAAATGATAATTTTAAATAAACATAATAATAAATAAATGGTACAAGGAAATAAAACAAACATTTGAGATACAAATGTTGCAGTAAAAAAACAGTAAAAAATGGAATATCCGCCTTTTTTCATATGAAAAAACCATGACATCAGGGAAAAAGCTTTACGTGCCATATGCTTAACGCACGTTAGGGTCCACGTGGAAACACAAACATTCAGCACGGCGAAACAACGTGGCCGCATCCGAAACTCCTTCCAAAGAAAACTTTTCAATACATTGACAAATTTTTATCCTGTGTCCATCCTTGAAAAAAAAAGTATTATTAGATGTGAATGAATTAGGGTTTCCATACATCCGGATTTGGCATGTTTTAGTTTTTATGGTGTCTGGGGTATTATGCGATTAAACTGTTTCACAAAATTATTTAGTTTTTATGATCAGATTTACCGTACTTTCTTTCAATTTCCGATTGGATTACCCTTAAAATCGATCGGACACCTTAAAAATTAAAAAGAACATTCTTTCTAAGGTTTCCATGTTTAGGTTTTTAAGGTGTTTATTAGGTGCATACCTAATTATAGTAAAATAAAATATATTCCTTAAAGTCTTAAAAAAATTGAAAATTAAAAGGGTTACAAAATATGTATTTCTTCTTTATGTATGTATATGCTAGAAGAGCTAGAAGAATGTCAGACTGTACTAATAAAAATTACACATAATTAATTGCAGTATGCCATATATGAATTCTCGTATAAGACCATATGAGGAATACATTTTTTTATTTGAAAGTGGAAGACAAAGACATATTATGAAATAAAATATCTTCTTTAATTAATATTATATTTAATGTTGAAATTTTGTACAAAAAATCAACATTAAATAAAGACAATGAAACTTGAAACTAATAGATGTTTTATTTCAGCATATTAATTTGTTGTTTATTGAAATTACTGGGATATATTACCCCATGTCATTTTCCTTAGGAGTGCATATTCCTTTTCAATACTATCCTACAATTGCTTCTTGGTCATGTTGCTCTAAAAACTGAAGAGTGTATATTTGTTTGATGACATATGTTTATGTTAACCCTGATGGTGCTGCAATTTGTTTTAGAACATAGTTCACCTAGAAAATATAATACTGGTTATGTCATTTTTTTATGTAATTGTGATATGTTTTGATCTGTAATGTGTTCTGTAATGTGAGCTGTTTTCATGACAAATTAAAAATTTATTCCTGTTGGTTTAATATATAAACAAACATAAACATTGAAAATTTGAAATTTTTAGTTTGATAGTTGTTAATGTTGACTAAATATCATATTAAAAGAAAATAACCATCTATTAAGAATACCGATATTTTATATGCTACACCAAGGATATTTTTATACTTAAATACTTCTATTAGTACTTCTTGAAAAAATATTATAATCTACGTCCTACATCCAATCTAAGTCCAATGAAAAATATCGAATTTTGGATTGTAGCATTATTTCAGAGAATCATAGTGCGTTGGAACAGATGGTTGTATGAACATCAGCATTTTCTACAATACTAAATATAATAGATTTATTTGGTATTTTAGTATTTGAGATTAATTCTATAAAATTTATTGTTCGTTCTTATAAATGTTGGTTTAATTAATTCACGGTTATTCAGCTCATTAGACACGGAGTAATGTACTGTAGCCAAACGATTAGATTTTTACAAATTGTAAGTTTTGGATTTGTTGTAGGACTATTTATAATTATTTGCAACAAGTACTACAGTGTCCCAAATAAATAAAAATATCAAACACTAGTTAAGTAGATGTAAAAGAGGACTAATTAATATGATCTCAGTATTCGAACTACATACATTAATTGACTATTTGCGTTGATTAATAATTGCTCCAGTACTAAAAAAAACTGAATTTTGTATGTGTATTAGACAATGTGGTAAAAGTAACACCTAAATTTTATGTCATTTTTTGATAAATGCTTATTTATAATAACAGAGACGTTCATATTCATAACTTTTTAATATATTGATTTCTGATTCAAATCTACATTTATTTATAATAATTTATTAACTAACACAATTAAATGTGATTAATTAATATTTGGGCGGAAATAATGGTGGTATATTTAATTAATGGTACACTCTTTTGCAAAGATTTAAATAGTTATCTCTTTGTAAACAAATGGGCTAGCAATATTATCGTTTTTAGCATCGGTACAGTCTAAAATGTCAATATTATAAGAAAATGCATTTTCTATGAGAATTTGAAGATATAGGTAAAACGTTATATAATACAATTAAATTGTGCATCTGATTCACGTAAAATATACAGGGTGTTCCATTTAAATTAAACAAGTTATTGCCGTTTAAAGCTAGTAATTATTTAAAATAAATTTTAATATAAAATAAAATTTTTAGACACTCTGTATAAGATAGTATTATTTTTATTATTGCAACACAAAATTTAGAAAACAGAAAAACTTCAGTACAATATTTGGTTTTAAAAACTTAAATACCCCTAGAGAAATAAAGCATTAAAATTGTTACTGCATTTTTAGGTGAGATAAACCTTAATCAAAGTTATCTTTATTTTAATTGGAGAAACTAAAAATTTCATAATATAGAGAGTGTTCCATTTAAAAAAATACAACATTGGTATTTTTTATTTATTCGGAACAATCTGTATCTTACAAAAGTACGTTTAAATTGTAGCTCTAATAGTCCTTAAACAAACCCAAATCTTTTATAATTTGGAAAAATTCAAAATCTTTGGCTACAATACTCCGTGTCGAATGAGGTGAATAACCCTGTATAGCAAGATTACACCTTCGATGGTATTAATCTGAAAGCGCTGTTAGTTCCTTACCTAATTTTTGAGTTAATATTATATTATCCTTTAAATTTATCCCACTATCTACTAGCACTTTTATTTTTCTGTTGGGTATAGACTCATAAGGTAAATAAGTATATAGATATTCTTGTGTGAATTTTCACTATCTTGAAATCACTAAAACAAAGGTAAATTAATAAATGAATTTTTTCCAATATGTGAAAACCAATATTGGAAGACAAAAAAAAATAGTTTACCAGATAGTCCGTTCTTTATGTTTTACCCTCTCTGATTGTATATTATCCTCTCTGATAGTCTTATCAGAAGTTGCAGTGAGGCTCCTTTACCCTATATTTCAGATTTTGTGACTGACATTTCCTACAAATATAGGGAATATAGGATGTAAATTATTTTATATTACGCTTTGGGATTACCTATGAATGTCGGCAGTTTTTCTACATGATACACAATGATGGTGCTTCAATTATGAAAGAACATGAAGATGATATACCACTTCTTAACCATAAGAAAAGCATGTTTTCCACAAGACAAGTGACGGATTCATCTGTCATACAGCTCTTCACCTCGTTTCCCTTTAGTAGTTTTGTTCTGTTTCTATAAAAATATCAGTTCATTCCACTTTAACTGTACCTACAAATTTTACATATTGCTTATCACCTCTATCTGCAACACGATCTTTTTATAAATACTTATAACTAAGAGATTATAAATACATGTGTAAAAGTTAATATAAACAATTACCTATTAAATTAAATATAAAATATAAAAAAATATATGTTCGAATATAACAAATTTATTTTCTAACTATTTTAAAATTGATTAGACCCGATTACTTAAAATTATTTACCAAAGTAGTAATAGGAAATATTTTATTTAAACTAGGATGTTATAAATAAAACAAAATAGTTTATATAAAGAAATAATAGAATATAAGCTTCTTTACTTACAACCATTTTTATGTTTTCTTTTTGAAAGTGAATTTTCTACACTGGTTAGTTCTTTTATAACTTGAATCACTTTTATTTTATTTTAACAGTGAATATTATTATTTTCAGGCCTATCTTCTATACACTTTCATGGTCATATATTTCTCTTGTCTAGCGAAACCTGATTATGCTGCAATGTTCAATTTTGTTATTAGTCCCATTAGAAAATAAAATACTGTATTTTTTCTCTACAAAATTACATAACATGATTTATTGTGCTGATGGAGCTGCAAAATATCAATAAATATTTTGAAATTAAAGTACCTTTGTATAAATCAAATGTGAGGACAGTTTTATACATACGTTGAATTAAAAAGAAAATGTGAATTTACAATTTTGTGATTTTTAAATGTATAGAAAAGTTAATCTTTAAAAATGGCCATATTTTAAAAAACATTGGTATTATTTGACATATAAAATATTATTTTAAAATTTAGTGTAATATTCCCTGCATATTTTATAAAAACATGGAAGTGAAACTATATAACACTTGAAAAAGAAGAAGATATGAAGAAAGATATGAAGCTAATTTACAACCCTGTATTTTAAATAACTTGAAAAAATATATACTAGAGCCTAGGGCTTAACTGCTCACCTGAATTAGTTAAATCCTGGGTAACGTTATCACAGAGTCATTCATAGAGCAGGAATAGTTATGTTTCAGTTTTATATCAACCAAATTTTACTATCATCACAAAACAACATAATTACAAAAGGCATTGTGTTATATTTTCAAAGATTCTTGTCATATTTTTGGTCTACAAATACAAAACATTATTAATTTTCTTACTCCTCAATTATTAAAATATAGCTGATCCTCAAAGAAAGTTAATATCTGACTCGAAAGTTTATAAACAGCAAATGTCCATCTACAAATAAAATTCACAAATGTGTTTTTAATATAGCATTTTTAAACAAGCTAAGCTGGCTAGCCTCAGGCAAAGAATATTGTATTTTCGTAGTAGAATTATCTTTGACTTTTTTGTCATGGCTTCTCCCATCACCGGGAGAAGAAAATTTTATCAGTTTTATTGCAATACTAAACATATGTTTATATGTACTTACTTTTCAGTATTTTTGGAAAATTATGCATTTTGGCTAAATTCTGGACTCATCTTTGTTATTTCCTCCATAGATCTATCAATACAACATTTTTCTTGAGCGAAATATAGGCCTTGTTCCCATGTTGGTCTTCAAATAAAAATTAACTAATTGCGTTGAAATTCACTAATTATTGTGGTTAATAGATACCTCTGGGTAATTCGCGCAATATATAGGATATTAGTGATCACTTAACACACATAATATTGCTAATACAACTCAAATAATTTGGAAATTCGCAAGCGAAAAATCAAATCGACAATCGATATTTGATATGAGAATATGAGCAATGGCTGCCGCGGCGTCGCGTAGAGCGGGACTAGCGGGAGGCGGGGACTAAAACGGATGCGGAAATAAAAGCAGTAAAATATGTACCGCCTCATTTAAATTTGCGAAACAGCGCCCTCTCACTACAGATGCTAATTTTCCAAAGAAGTTTGATCTGGCCAGAGATCCGGCAGGCCTAATTCCCATATGCGCTTGATCGTCTCGTAGTTGTCTCTGCTACTGGTGAATGCGACTTAATCCGGTACGAAGCTGCCTAGTCGCGGGTTCGTGGCAGCCAAGTGGTAGCCACCGACATGTGGAACTTTCGTTTAACCGTTGAACTTTATTCGCAGCGACCTCTTTATGCAATTTCACATTTCATAAAAATAAATGTCATGATGGAAAATAATTATGGAAGCCATTATTATTTTTTCGTTATTTGTTATTTACCGTGCGATTTTAACACCTTTTCTAGGTAAATTCCAGAACGCAATCAACTTTACTGAATAAAATAGTGGGTTTATATAACAAAATTTTCGAGTACCTCTCAAAATATTTCAAATTATTATATTATTTGCAATAGAAACTCATGTTTGTAATTAAAAAATAATAATAATTTGCTTAAAACCGGGGTTACACCTTAAAATATTAGTCCACCGTCAGAAATAACAAAATAACTAAGGAAAAAAACTTTAATCTAGGTATATTTAGCTTAAAAATGCATAATGTTTGAGCCATTTGGCTGTTCGTCTAAAAATTCATGAAAAAATATGGCCGTTCAATCCGAAAAATACTTTATAGTTCCAATGCTTCCACAAAGTACCGGGAACAATAACATATTAGGCCAACCCTACCCGTTTGGACCTTTAAAATCTTCGGATTGATAAAGTGACAATTGTAGCTATCCAAAGGCGACTTTATAGAAACAATAACTTTTTAGGAACTACATGGTCAACGATTCTTTGGAACCATACAGTGATTTTTCCAAGAAAGTTCCCTGCACCACCAAATTGCCACTTAATTGGAGCGTTGCTACACCGATCGCGGTGGTGGCGACTATACATTCCATTGGTGCCACTATAACGTTCCGCCTTCCTTTGAAGTTATTTTTTACTTATTGTGAATTTTCTATTATTAGTGTTTCTATATTATTCAGAGCTACATGAGGTATAGAGTATTTTAACGCCCACTCTATTAGCTCTTGTTTTATTTGTGCATTTTCTATTATTAGTGTTTCTATTTTACTCAGAGCTACATGAGGTATAGAGTATTTTAACGCCCACTCTTTGAGCTCTTGTTTTATATTGTTGGTTCTCAAATTAGTTCTCCTCTGAGGTTCCGTTTCAGATGAATTAACACTACACTCATCTACAGAAACAGCTTCAAAAATATCTCAGTCACTACCTGATTTATGTTCATCAGTAGGATTATAGCAAGATGTAATTTTTGTTTCTGATGTTGATGCATCGGCTCGCAGTGATTCCTTTTGTTTAATTCGTCGGTAGAAAGTACTAGAATATCTAAATTTCTTTTTATTCCCCTTAGGGATTTTACAAAAATTTAATAAAGCTTAAAAGCAAGTAAAAGAAAACACTAAAACAGAGCAGCACACGATGCAATCTGAGGCAATTAATTGACATTTATTAGGGTATATTAAGTTGCGGTCAATATGAAGTAGCCGTTTTTGACCCCCGTGACTCTTTAGTGGCGATGGATGAGCGACGGCTATTTTATAGTAACCTAGGAAGGTAGCAATAACCATTTTGCTACTTTCAATGCTACTATAAATTAGAAGTAACTAGGTGTCGTGGCCGCGACTACCCTGTAACTTAAATTGTTACTATAAAGTAACAAAAACTTAGCGGAGGCATTATGGTAGCACTTGTTGGTAACCCCTACTTTGAAAAGTTACTATAAAGTTTTTGGTCTTTTATGGTGTCATATTCGAAGATTCGGGTAGTTCCAGCCACTTCTTTAAATTACATGTTTGCGACTTGCAATCGGGGTGTTTATTTTCCACTTTTATAGTAGGCAGGGACTAACCGGTCACTCTCGAAATATACTTCAAAGTGACTATTCCTTATAGAGTAACATTTTAAGTGGCAGAGTGGGCCTAGGAACTATACTTTAGGGGCAGTGACATTTTAAAAAGGACTGGGAACTATATTTGCTAGCTGAGGTAACATCTAAATCAAGTATGGAAGTTCCGCAAAAGCTTAGCGTATGTAGCGGATAAGCTTAATGATTTTTTTCGAACTATTATACTTGCATTAATACTACATTAAATATAATAATAAAAAAAATAGATTTTTATAGGCAAAATAAACATGAAAAATTAGAGAATAATATTCTATTTTATTTATTTATTTATTAACTGTTTAGTGTGCAAACAGTACGTAGTACCAACAGATTATCCACAACATACATAAATGAGCAAGTTATACAAAATAAAATATAAGAGATATACAGTGTGGTCCGAAATGCATGCCGGAGACTTCGGCAGCATATTCTGCAGATAAAAATAAGTAGAAAAGTTCGTATAAATGTATGTCCTGTGGTATGTCCTAAAATGCTTAGTTTTGGGGTTTTGGATATACAGGGTGTAGAATTTTTATTTTTATTTCGATTTTTCCCAAATTATTCCTGAAGTAACGTCAATACTTAATAGAAAATTTGTACCTGGGAGTTTTTTGACATGACAAATTTGATTTAGATGTCAACATGAGTCCTATTTGTAGAGGGCGCCACCTATATATTGTTTAACTGGTTTGAAGTATAATAACTTTTCGTCGGTACCTGTATAAAACTACTCATTAAAAAAATATACATTTACCATGCTTTTTACGTAAAAAAGGTCTCTTGGTAAAAATCGCTACCGACTAATCGTTCTCGAGATATTTTGAATCTAAATTATCAATACCTGTCATCATTGCCGTAAATTAAACATGTTGACTAAATAGTTATTAGACTGAAATCATAAATTTGAAATATTTTTGTGGCAAAAGTTGAACAGAAATGTTTTATCATCTTTTTTTCGAAGAAAAATTTATGATTAATTTAAAAAAATTAAAAAGTTCCCAAATTTATCATTTCAGTCTACTCAACATGTTTATTTTTTGTCAATAATGTCATGTATTGACGATTTTAATTTTATATATCTTGAGAACGGTTGATCGTAGCGATTTTTACCAAGAGACTTTTTTTACGTAAAAAATGTCGTAAATGTATATTTTTTTACTCAGTTGTTTTATACAGGTACGGACAAAAATTTATTAGTATTCAAACCAGTTAAAAAATATTTAGGTGGCCTACAACAAGTAGAAGCATATTGACATGTCAAAAAACTCCCAGATACCAATTTTCATCCAAGTATTGACGTTACTTCAGAAATTATTTGGAAAAATCGAAATTAAAATGAAACTTCTACCCCCTCTATCTCCGAAACTAAGCATTTTAGGACATACTTTTATACAAACTTTTTTACTTATTTTTATCTGTAGAATATGCTACCAAAGTTTCTGGAATACAGTTCGGACTACCCTGTATAACATGAAATATAACAAAAATTATTTGTGAAAAAATACGTGCAATTGAATGTCTAATATATAATAAATGAAGGGTCCAGGGGAAAAACGTGATAAGTGCCATTCTATTAATTTTACAAGAGAGCACTGGACGGCTGGTGATTATCAGGTTCTTTCAATGTATTCTGTATTTTTACTAGGCATATATCATAGAATTTAATAACTTATTGCCTTGCAGAGTTTGTACATTGGTAGGGACCACTTAGACCGACTATAATATTCTAAAATCTTGAAAATAAGAAATTGGCGCTTATCAAGTTTTTTGCCTGGACCCTTCAAATGTAAATGTACTATATTTTAATTTTTTATAGAAACAGTGACAAGTGTATTTTACAGCAATAAAGCCTTTATAAGATGTTTAAACTCCAAAAAATATACAGAGAAAATATCTATATTTACTTTAGAACTTGTCATTAAATTAATTCTGCATTCTAATCACTGGAAAATGCTGCCCTATGTTGGTTCTGCGATACGGAATATCAAATAAACTTGTATTTCGAATGGTTCGGCTAGGGATTGTTAAGTTGAGCTGTTACAGTAAATAAGGAAAATGAATTGTTGATGCAATATTTTATACAACAAACACAAATCCCGATACTCTTCGTCTATCCTCCAAGCGAACAATTTTAAATCTAGAGCGAAATTGGAAATTGTAGTATCTCTGCTCAGTCACAGCCGCACGCGTCTTGAAAGTCAGAAATCTCACAAACCGATTTGGAACACTTTCTGTTCTATTTATATAGATGAAAATAATTTGGTGAATGCTCTAGTAAACTAAGTTTAAATCTTTGGCACAATTTCAGCTAAATTTTGACGACGATCTGAATAAAAATAAATAATAAATGTGCTCGGGATTATAATTTAAAATTAAATGCCGGTAAATCTTGTTTTATAATATTTGGCAGTGACAAAGTTAATATACGGCTGGTTTCAAGAATATTCATACAGATAATGTTGGGATACCCGTTGCCAGTGTCTTTGTACACTTGGAGTAAAATACTTGGAGTACATTTTTATTTGAAGCTTTCTTGTCAGACACATACAGGTTGATAACTCGACAGTTACTTATAGGAGAACAGAATGGCAACACTGCCTATTGAGAACGTATGCATTATTGATTTTTCTGCCGACTCGTCCCGTCGCGTCGTCATCGACGAGCGGGCCGAGATTGCCACTAAGGAATTCAATCCCGCACCAAAATGTCAATCCGCAACCCCGCGGGATTAAAGCAATTAATCCCGCGGATCCGCAAAATTGCGGGATTGTAAACAATAGTCATACATTGGGTCCTAAATGGTACAGAAGGCATTGTACATTTTGCATATGCCCACAATATATTGATATAGCGTGTATCTTAAACTAGCTGTACAGAAATTTGGTCACCGAGGTATACAGGGTGTTCAAAAATATATTTAATATTAAATATACTTAAATTTTATTATAATTTGTCTACTTATTTTATAAATAAAAATATTATTCTGATTGAAGTTTTTTTTTAACTTGTGTTAT